GTCCAGCTGGTCAATATTTCAATTCAAAAACTTGCTCCAGTTGCCCAGAAAACACTTATTCCTTGCAAAACAGTTCGACTTGTACAAACTGTTCTTCGTGTGTAACATGTGACCAAACAAATGGACATTGTACTTCTTGTAAGAATGGGCAGTTTGTAGACAACAAATACAGTTGTTATAATTGTGTTGCTGGGACGTATGGTGATGGCATTAAATGCACTCCCTGCCAAACAGGTACATTTTCAAGTGTATCAGGAAGTGCCAGTTGCATGTCATGTCTTTATAAATCTTATTCGAATACAACTTCTTCAATTTCATGTACAGAATGCAACTATTATTGCACTTCGTGTAATGGGGGAAAATGGATTCTGCTCTACTTGTATGGATGGTTGTGTTTTATCAGGAAATTACTGCATTCCGTGTCAAGCCGGAACAGCAACAAACAAAGATACAAACACATGCGATGTCTGTCCAGCGGGAACGTATTCACTCAATCAATCAACAACTTGTTTACATTGTCAGGATGGGTTTTATTCAACAGAAAAATCATCAATTTGTTTACAATGTAATGTTAACTGTCTCATATGCAACAACACAAATGGGAATTGCACGACTTGCATTTCTGGGTATGGTTTAGATGAGTTGTCCAATTGCCATATTTGTCCAGTTGGTACTTATGCAAATTCAGCAAACAACAAATGCCAACAATGTGGAGACAAAACATATCAACCAAATGAAGGACAAACATATTGCATATCGTGTGATATCAACTGTGAAACGTGTGGTAGTGTCAGTGGCAAGTGTTTGACGTGTTATGCTGGATATGGACTTGACAATAATGGGAAATGTGAACAATGTAGTGATGGGTATTATTCACCCGGTAAGACATCATCGTGTTCATCGTGTCCAATTGAGTGTGTAAATTGTTACAGAGAGAGTGGTGAGTGCACAACGTGTCAGTCTGGCTTTAAAAAAGTTACAAATCAAAACACTGGAAATGAAGAGTGTGTGTCGTGTTCATTAAACGATCATTGTGCCTCATGTAATGTAAATGCAAACGAATCTGAGAGAACATGTGTCGAGTGTTTGAGTGGGTATTATTTGAAACATAACAACTGTTACAATTGTTCGCTAATAACAAATTGTGTCCAGTGCTCACAAAAGAGCAGTGAGTGTCTGTCGTGTTCGAGTGATCTTATATCAAACGGTGAAAAATGTATATCATGTAAATATGGCGAAGTGAAAGTCACTTCAAACATGTGTGCATTTTGTTACGAATTGATTCCAAATTGCCAATTTTGTGAATACAACAACGGTAGTCAATTGTGTGCAAAGTGTTATGCACCGTATGTTTTGAGTGATAAAAAATCGATGTGTGTTCTTGCATTTTTAAACTTAACGTATTACAACTATGACACCTCGAAAAGTGATGTTAATGATGTTGGCTGTCTGCGTCAAGTAAATTCTTCATGTTTACTGTGGTGAAAATCTTATTTTAATTGATGGGAAATGCGCTTTTAAACAAGAAGACAATTGCTTTGATTATTCAATGAAAACATGCAACAACTGTATAAATAACGTCATCACAACAAATGGCAATTGTTTAATTGAAAGTAATTGCAAATACCAGCTCACTCATAACGACCAGACTGTCTGTTTGATCCACAACAATAACACACAAGAAGGCATCAAAGCCAACAACTGCAAATACACACAAAACGAGTTTTGTTATTTGGCAAATGAAAGATATAGCACAACACTTAACACAGATGGTAATACTGCAAGTTGCGACAACGCAAAGATTTGTCAAATTGTAAATGGATATATAATCAATATATCATGTAAAAGTGAATTTGTGATGACAACGAACGGTTTGTGTTCACAAGACTTTAACTGCGCAAATTACAGTGGAAGTGTGTGCACAACATGTCAACAAAATTATCACATTGCAAGTGGTGGATGTGTTTCCAATAACAACGAGTGTGTGATTCAAAACAAAGAAATTTGCATTTTGTGTAGCAACAACAAAATAACAGTTGATGGGAAGTGCGTTTTAACAGATTCAATTATTTGTAAAGAATTTGTTGGAAATGTTTGTACTCAATGTGACGACGATCATTACAAAGACACGACTGGGTGTTTGCCAAAACAAGAGAAATACCCAAATTGTGAGCACTTGAGTGTTGTGTCATCGTCTTGTCTGGAGTGCAACAAATCTCATCTTCTTGTTGACAACATGTGTGTTGAAAATGATACCAACACATCAAAAGCAAACAGTTTACAATTGACAAGTGAAATAACAACAGACAACTGCATGTTGAGAAGTTCAAAGGGTGTTTGCGTTGTGGTGATGGGTATTATATATTTAACTCACTTTGTGTGAAATGTGAGTATCCCTGCACACACTGCTCCAATTTGACGTATTGCACAAAGTGTGATGCGTACTTGTACACCAAGAATGGCAAGTGTTTTGAAATCAATGAGATACTGAGTGTGTGATGTGATGATGTCGACATATGAGGGGTGTGTTGCGTGCAAAGACGGGTACATGCGATCAAGTGATGGCAAACAGTGCGTTAGATGTGACACGTCGTGTGCAACGTGTTCCAATGATGGTGATTGTTTGGTTTGCAGTGATGGATATTACAGAACACCAAACAACAACACAAAGCTGTGCAACCCACAGACAGACTTGAACAACTGTTTGAACAAGACGACGACTGGGTGTACATTGTGCGAAGGTGGTTTGCACTGAAAGACAATTTGTGTTACAAATGTGGTGAAAATTGCACAACTTGTGATGCCACTTTTGAGTGTTTAAAATGTGGTGATAACAACATTCTGAAAGACAGCGTGTGTGTTCACTTCTCACAAATACCAAATTGCATCTCATCAGAGAACTCCTTGTGTTGGGAGTGTGCAGATGGCTACAAGTTGAGTGACGACAAAATTGAGTGTTTTGCAAACACGAATTATGGTGTGGTTGTTGTTCTGTTTGTGCTGAGAAAGAAAGACAACAAACACGCTGAAAATGTGTGTGTCTTCAAGGTGAGTCGCTCCAATATTATGATGACGAAACTTGATGGCGACATTCTATCAAACAAAAATGAGATTTCATTTGGTGATGAAGACGACAAGATCTGCATTGAGACTGAAAGTCGCGAATTGTTGTGTGTTGGCAACTCGTCTAAAAGTAACGTGAAAATCCAAATCACAACAAAAGACAAATGCGACAAATACAAAATTCGCACAGAACCACAAATTGTGACTTTAAAAAGCGGATTTGCATGCGAATTTGAAGTATTTATAACGCCATATTGCACAATGGATTTGACTGATGAAGTCATGATTGTTTCACTTGATTTAAAAGGTGGTAAACAAAACACGACTTTAATGAACATCAAAGCACTGGTGGAACAATCAACACGTCTTGATTACGACGAAATCAAAACAGAGAAGAAACTTGGTGAAGGGTCTTTTGGAATTGTCTACAAAGGAACTTACAGAGGAAATGTCGTTGCAGTCAAAAAGATGAAACACGTTGAAAACTCAAATGATGAAATTGGAATGATTGAATTTACAAAAGAAGTTGAGATGTTGGACAAATTTCGGAGTGAATATATCGTCCACTTCTATGGCGCTGTATTTATACAAAACAAAATTTGCATGGTCACCGAGTTTGCACAATATGGATCTTTACAAGACTTGATAAAACACAAAACGAATGACGAAGTTGACATGAAAATGCGAGTCAAAATAATGAGAGATGCATCAAAAGGGATTTCATATTTGCATGAGAATGGGATATTACACAGAGACATCAAGCCAGACAATATTCTTGTGTTTTCACTTGATGTAAATGATAAAGTGAATGCTAAATTGACTGACTTTGGAAGTGCAAGAAATATCAATTTGTTGATGACTAACATGACTTTCACTAAAGGTATTGGAACGCCAGTTTACATGGCGCCTGAGGTGTTGAAAAAAGAAAAGTACACAAAAAGCGCAGACATATTTTCGTTTGGTGTCACTATGTATGAAGTGTTTGGGTGGACTAATGCTTATCCACTTGACGCATTTAAGTTTCCATGGAAAATCGCAGAATTTGTGATGTCTGGAAAACAACTTCAAAGAAAAGAAAATATACAAGAGAAGTTGTATGAAAATATACAAATGTGTTGGGCTCAAGAAAAAGCAAACAGAGCATCTATTGATAACATAATAAATGAACTCGCTTTGTAATTCGTTGTTTGTTATTTATTCAAATAAAAATATATCATATATTTGAACTTTATACAGTGATAATGAAAATAACAGCAATACAGAATTTAATATAAAGGTTTAAAATGAAGACTTGGTCTATTATGTTTATAACTATCAAATAATTCAGTGATCAAAATAATGACATCAAAAACTGCGATTTGGTGATAATAAATTAATCACAACTTATTGAATTCGTCTTGTAATAAAAATTATATCTTTATGTGAAAATAGTTACTTCTATATTTGATTTTATTTTTTTAAAAATGATTGTATCATATGGTATAAAATACTTCATTGTTTTTATTTGAACATTACATAATGGTCATCACTAATAATAACAAAACTATAAATGAAATATTATTTCACACAAAAATTAAATGTTTGTTTGTGTTTAAACACATATTACAAATAAACGATGGAAATTAAGTAAATATACAATATAAACCAAATATGACATAACGATCAATTTGAAAGTGTATGTTTAATGATGAAAACGTATGGATTTTAGATTATAAATTATACTAATATTTATATTATTGTAAAAAGCACATACATTAATGATTTTATTATTATCTAATAACATAAAAAACTATACAATAAAAAGTAATATATAACAGATAAAAAGTCGGTGACAAAGTATAAATAACCCATTATTCTAATAATGTTTTTGTTCAATAGTTTCTTTTCTTTATTAATCCCTATTTTTTAAAATTTTTAATCACTAAAAATAAATGGTGAAAATATAGTAAGTGACAACACTCATTTGCAATTTTTTGTTGTTTTCCAAAAAAATGAAAGGAAGAAAGAATGTAAATTTTAAAAACACAAATAAAGCAATAGTGTATTTAAGCTCTTCTAAAAAAGGTGATCTTAATAAATAAAAACTTTGATTATGAAAAAAATGATCACTTTTGAAACCACAAACCCTCATTTACAAAACTCACTTGAATTAACCAAAGACAACAAATACTCAATTTAGACTTTACCAATTACTACCATCGTTTCATATAGCTTCCAAACAGTTTATTTTTAAAAAAAATGGATGGAGCAACAGTCTCACGAGTTCTTAAAAAAAGGTTTGTTCTTCACACGGTCTTATTTTTATTCAAAGAATGGGTTCATTTGAACCTTCGTTGGATTAATTAAAAACAGTGGATTTTGCCATTTTTTGATAACAAATCTTTGTTTTCTTTGTCATTTGCTTTGGATTGAAGTATGTGATGTTAACGTTATTAACGTCGTTGTCGATGGTTGTAAGTTTAATCACTGTTGCTTGGTTGTAGATTACTGTTGTCTGTAGAAAGTCTGAAATTACTTGACAAGTCGAAAAGCAGCTTATATATCAATGAAAATGTGGTAAGCGCTTTTAACATAACAAACCATACCTTCACTTTAAAATGACGCATCCATGCTCTCATACATTGCCAATTGATTAATTTTTTACACTTTTAATAATGTGTGTTATTTCCTTTTTAATTAACTAATCCTTTTATCATTTTTTGTTTTTATTAAAGCCATATTTTTTTTAGGAATTGTGATAAAAACAATGTTAGTGAGCTTCAAAAGCATTACAATGTGAACATTATTTTAAATAAGAAAATTGACAGGGAGTGTTAATTCAATTTAAGTATTATTAAAAATATTGATCTTATTTTTTGTTTTATAAAACATTATTTCTTGTCATCGACTTTATCCTTGTCACTTATAAATTTTTTATCTGTATAGTTATGAAATTTTGTTTAATTAGGTAAAACTTTTGGGCACAAAACTTGACCACACAATAGCACTATTAAACAAACTAAAAGAGATGAAGTAAAGGTTTTATTATAATGATTGTAACATGTACTATATTTCCCGATATTTGAGAATAATTATAACTCAAGCACTTTTTAAACGATATTAACAAAAAACTGCAAGAAACTGAAAAAAAATATTTATAACATTAAAATATTTAACATAAATACGGTTCAATCACAAAAACATAACTCTAATTTAATTGTCCATAACAACAACTTTTCTAATTGTTACGGACAATATCAATGGACTTTTATAACAATTTGACATCATTAAAAATATTTTTCTCAAATTAAGTAATGTTGATCAAATCACCGAGATAACATTCTGATGTTGAATAGAAAGATTTTTTTTATTAATATGTTTGGTTTTTTATTTATTTGTAAATGATACAATTATCAGTTTTAATTAATCAAATAAAAATACAACAATATTTGCCAAACAATAAAATGATATCGATACTGTATTATAATCACGATGTATTTGTAACATTTTAACACTTTTAAATGGTTTACAAACAAATGTTGATGTTATTACTGTAACAACATTGTGAAGTTAAAAAAACAAAATTTAGTAATGAATAATTTGAAAACTATATTTTTTGCTATAGGCCATTTAAGTGTTGATGAATTAATTTGAACACAATTATGAAGTTTTATTTTAAACGTTTTTTAATTAAAACCAATTTGTTTTATAATTTCAAACTGACATTAAATCAATTAGTAAATTGTATCAGGGTCGGCCAAGATCCAGTTTTTAAACAACTTCGTGGCAATCTCTAATACGTGTCAATATATCTTTTAGTTTTAGCATGTTGTTAACAAAAAACTTAAAAAGTTTTTTATTGTTAAAATGTTTTTAAAAATTGGTAAAACTATAGTTAACGATTTAAACAAAATTTTTATATTGTTTAAATCATCATTTTAATGTGTTATAATCCAGTTTTAAAGAACAATAATTGAACAGTAAAAAAGCATATGAAATGGTAAAATGCAAAGTTTTTAAAATCAAATAATAATACTCACTCCTTATAATTGTTGTATATACAGAAGATACTAACAACCAATAAAAATTATTAGAAATCATTTTAGTGATTTCAACTTAAAATTTTTATTTAAACAATTAATATACCTTTTCAACATACACATTAATATTAATTGTTAATGTCTGTATTTTTGTCATTTGACAAATGTATATTTGTCAATTTAACAAAAGTTCATTTGTGTCCCTTTTAAATTATCGTATAAATTAAACAATCAAATAGAAGTATTTTCATTATCTTTAACAATAATACAAAACAAACAATGTATTATTTTTCGAATGGAGTGAATCATATTACGTTCAAAACAGTAAAACTTAATTTTAGTACGTTTTCTTGATAAAAACGATAATTCATAATACGATAATAATCAATCAAAATAATTATTATCACCCAAATAAAAAAACTGTTATCAGAGTAACTTTGAATAAGTTTTATTTACATGTATAATTTACAATTGAAAGGTTTTGGTGTACAATTAAATCAACACAAAGAAATATTATTATATTGTATTTAAAGTAATTTGAAAACAATTTGGTGTTTAATATAAATTATCGTTTTATTTTTCTTCATTTTATCTATGGTATAAATAATTGTGTTTTGTCATTATTATTTTGTTTTTTAAAAATGATTGTGTTATTTACCATTTTATTGTTTTTTAAGTTTTTTTCCAATAACATGATCGTTTGGCCGACCCTGATTGTTTGCACCCAGTTGTATTCGATTTAAAATGAGTATTTGTGTAGTCGGCCATACAAAGCCAGCAAAATTGATGTCCACAACTTAATGTCAGTATTTATGATATTGTATCAAAAGTTAACATTTCAGTGTTTTAAACAGTACAAACAAACCTACAAGTCATGTGGTTACATCCCCCATTTTTACGAATTGGGTTTTTGCACTTTGGGCATATTTTTGTGTTTTGTTTAATCCATTCCGTTGTTTTTCTCATGTTCTCATTATCATCATCGACTTGTTTTTTCCACTCCTCGCATGTTTTTCCGGGGTGACAAACACACAAACATTTTTTACAAAACTCGTGTTTACAGAGTGGGCATTGCGCATTCACAGTGCTATTTAATGATAACAACGAGTTGTGACATTTGGGACACAAAATTGTCTGTTCTTCAAACATCTTTTTATTGAGTCTTTCAGTGTATTCGTTTATTAACTGTTTGTCATCAACTAAATCATATAAATTGATATCTGATATTTCAATAACTTGTGAACAACCATGCTGTGGGCAATGAACTTTTCGCCATGTATTAGTCTTTTGCTCTTTAATCGAATCACGAATACACGACTTGCAAAATCTATGACCACATTTATTAACATAAGTATCACTGTATGGTTTATCTTCATAACATATTTCACAACTAAATAATAAGACATTTTGAGAAATTTGTTTTTCTCTGTAATTTTTCACACATTCTTCTAAAATAAAGAGCTTCTTATTATCAGGTTGTTTGAAATAGTCAATAAAGTTGAGTGAATCAATTGAGTACATTTATAAGTTGGATTACAATTACCAATAATAAATATTCAATAAAAATCATTTATCTGAAATTACATTTTTATTCAAAATAAATTAATTTTCATTGTTATAACATAATTATTTTAAAAATAACCATTACAGTTCTGATAATAAATGCACATAATTTAATTATATCATTTTTTAATATCAAATAAACAATTTATTAGATTAATTTAGTTCAAAACATGTAAATTAAATATTTTTTAGTTATTAATTACTTAAAAATCATTTTAATATTTTCGAAATTTGTTGAATTCATTTTTATTTTATGTTACAGTCAAAGTTTGTTTAGAAAGGATATAATTATTATTGGTTAGGATTTGTTTTTTTAAAAAATGGGTATAATTTTTAATAAAATGGATACAATTTTTTGAGAAATGATTTGATTATCCGAAAAGGGGATATTTCCCAATAAAATGGATTAAAATCAATTAAATGGGATCGGATTATTTATAAAAAGGATTTGTTTTCTTATAAAAGGACGCAATTCCTAATAATTGAGACGCTATTTCTTTAAAATGGATATATTTTCGATTAATGGGATTGAATTCTTTATAAAAAGTATCGAATTTTTTAAATTTGGACAGAATTTCTCAAAAAAGGGTGTATTTACTGAAAGATTGGGCAAATTTACGTTGAAAAAAGATTGAATTCTTTATAAGTTATTGTGTTTTTACAGTCTTTTAAACAATTCAAAAATTAACAAAAATAACGTACTAAAAATTTAATAATTTATACTAAATATTATAGTATTATTTAACAAATTTCATAAAAAAAACTCAATGAAAAAATAATTCTTGAAACATTATTTACAAATCAAATATAAAAATAAACATTTTAAACATAATAATCAGAACAATGAGTCGATTAGATTATGTTGATACTTGTGTTCCAGAATCTCCTATAACCTACACACAAAACGCTCCAGAACCTTTACAGGGTATCTCGGTACAACAGGTACCAATTACATATCAGGAATTGCCTCCTTTACCAAAAAGAAAAAGAGGAAGACCGAAAAAGACACAATTATTAAACACTTCTGCGACACTTCCTACATCATCCACATCAAATCTTTCCTACAAGAAGAGAGTGTACACACGAATAACTAACCAAATTAGAGACAAACTTATCGAAATGTGGAAAGAACATGGAGACTTTTGGTTATCGGGAAAGTATTCAGAAGAAGTTGGTATCAAGAAAAAATATGTTGAAAATATGTTAGTAAAACTAAGAGCTGGCAAATCTATTTACCCCAAGAACCATTATTATAGAAAAAGTCGTACACTTCCTTTTCAACATCTTGTTGAAAATGCAATCATAAGAGACAGCACGATAACAATCGATGAAATCCGCGAGACGATTGCACAGGAAGAAAAACTTAGGATGCAAAGAGGACAGGAAGAAATTATACTAAATTTTGAAAACATCGACAATACCATGATTTCAGATGAAGAGCTTGATAATTACGCGCCTTCCAAATCTTCGATTGCCAAATTTATGAGTGGACAAACAGCCAAAAACGAGGAACGAGAAGTCCCGATATTTTCGTTTAAACGAGTAAAAAATAGAGGAGTGTCGGCCAACACAACAGATAACAAAACAAAAAAATGAAGCAGTTAATCAACTTGTAGTTATATATCCGGCGGAGCAAAATGGGTCTGTGTCGATGAGACGAGTTGGAGAGTTGGTACAACAGCAGCTTATGGATGGGCAGCACGAGGAAAAGAATGTTTTGTAACCAAAGCAAAAGGAGGAGTGAGGCTGACATCGATATGTGCTTTGAACTGTGATGGCTTTTCGTATTGCAATTTGACTTTTGGCACTAACACAATCGAATCATTCAAAACATATTTCAAATATCTCGTACATGAATATGATTTAAAGGGGCGTCGATGTGTTTTTTGGTGCGACAACTGCGATATACATAATTGTATTCAAAGAGTGCTCGAAGGAACGGGTCATGTCTTAGTTTTTAATGCTGCGTATTCACCTGCACTGAATCCTATAGAAAATGTTTTTGGGTTGTGGAAACGCAGAGTAGAAAAAAAAATATCAGAATTTGGAGAAGTGTTTAAGATTTGCTCGACAAAATAACAGAAGGATTCAAATCGATAAACAGTGAAGAAGCACAAGCAACATTTGAAAAGGTTAGAGAGGAAATATGACCCAAAGTTTTCAACCGAGAAGATATTTAATTTTTCATTGAGTTTTTTATGAAATTTGTTAGATAATATTATAATATTTAGTATAAATTATTAAATTTTTAGTACGTTATTTTTGTTAATTTTTGAATTGTTTAAAAGACTGTAAAAACACAATAACTTATAAAGAATTCAATCTTTTTTCAACGTAAATTTGCCCAATCTTTCAGTAAATACACCCTTTTTTGAGAAATTCTGTCCAAATTTAAAAAATTCGATACTTTTTATAAAGAATTCAATCCCATTAATCGAAAATATATCCATTTTAAAGAAATAGCGTCTCAATTATTAGGAATTGCGTCCTTTTATAAGAAAACAAATCCTTTTTATAAATAATCCGATCCCATTTAATTGATTTTAATCCATTTTATTGGGAAATATCCCCTTTTCGGATAATCAAATCATTTCTCAAAAAATTGTATCCATTTTATTAAAAATTATACCCATTTTTTAAAAAAACAAATCCTAACCAATAATAATTATATCCTTTCTAAACAAACTTTGACTGTATTGCAAAATTATTCAAATAAAGTCTTTCTGATAATAAGTTATTCCTTTTTTTAAAAAAATAAATTTTGTTTTTATTTTTAAACATATTAAATCGTGGTTTTTATTGATTATTTTTGTGTGTTTTAGTTGTAAGTTATAATGAAATATCACATTTTGTAAATTAAGAAGGTTGTTGCCCATTTTGTTATTTTTATTTAAAACTTTAATAATCTCAAAAACCAATTATTTTTATCAGT